CACAGGAAGGAAAATAGTTGAGGTGCAAATTGTGTTAATCATAACCACCCACTTGTATGCCAGTATAGATTTTTTTTTTTTTTTTTCCTTTTAACTGCGGGGGTCACTTAGTGTCCACGTTCTTTCAAGATTATACTCTCCTAGCTAGCTACAAACTATCATGCATGTTAAGGAGCACAAGTGCAAAAGTTAGGAAGGACTAAGTAATAAGTAGCACCTCGGCCTTATTTATCTAGCCACAAATACATGAAGTAGAAAAAACAACAGCAAACAGATCAAGGAGAGAGATAAGAAACTGACTATTTTTCCAGACTTAAAAACATACTTAAACCTCATACAAGTAGATCAGAGGTTCAACTTATTTAATCTCTGTTACTGAACCTACTGCTCTTTTAACATCCAGACAGCACTTGTGCGCAGATGTTTCAGAACTTTAGTTGGGAAACCAGACGACTGTCTCTTTGGCAAGGAAATGACAAATTGGGACCGATCCTGACTTAACTTTGAGGACCTAAAATGCCAAATGTTTGGGGTTCCGTGCTGATGTATCTTTGTGACAAACAGCAGTGGCCTTAACTTTGGTCCCATCAGAACCAACAAAGGGAACTGTGTACACATCAGTTTTATCAATTAAATGGCATAAAAACACAGCATATGGGTACTTCATCTTGTGACACGCTAATTCCTTCTCTCCCAAGTTCCTCGCTTCCTTGCCAATGGTAAAATCTCCAGTTTTTGTCTTCTTCTCAACCTCATCTGACGGTACCTGTATCTTTTTCCCAAGCCTCGAAACACTCTGATCAATCAAGGACTCCAAGGATGTAGCACAGAACTTGTCTTCTCCTTTGTCAGCTGCTATCTCACAATTTTCAATGGTAAAGGTCAAGTATATACAATCCAATGCAATTTATTTGTAAATTCAAGATAAGTAAGAACAAAAGCCATATATAGTTGTAAATAATTAGGATGATTTCACTTGAGAAAATGACATTATATTATATCATTTCCAAACATTCACATACCACTTAACAAGTTCCATGACTGACGTAATTGAAGGGATACATAGTAAGTTCACACTTAATACATGAAACACAGGCTCAACTTATTAAATATGTTACATGATTGAACCCTTGGTCCTCTCTAATATTTTCCGAGGACCTTTGCTTTAGAAGTTTTGATTACTTTGGTCCGGGACCCAGACAATGGTCTCTGTGCCCAAGAAATGACATATTGGGACAGTTCCTGGCTTAACTTTGAGTTGCTGAAAGGCCAAGTGGTTAGGATTCCAAGCTGATGTATCCTTATGACAAGCAGCCACAGCTTCCGCCTTAGTCCCATCTGACCCAACCACTGGAACCTTATACACTTCTGTTTTCCTTATAGTATGACAGAAGTAAACAGCATATGGATAACCGGTCTTATGGCAGATCAACTGTTTTTCTCCCATGTTTCGCACCCCTTTACCAATGGTAAAATCTTGGGTTTTGGTCTCTCTCTCAACTTCACTTGAGAGAACCTGGATTTTTTTCCCAAGTTTTGAAACACTAATATCAACTAAGGATTTCAAGGACATGGGACACTGCTTTTCTTCTCCAACAACTATTTTCTGACAATCTTTTATTGTTTGTTTTATTATTGTAGCTTCTCTTGATCCAGGTTCCACTGAAAAGCGTTTAAGAATGTCCGGAAGCTTGCCGCTTGAGAATGTCATTGAATCCGCAATTTGACGAGGCAGGAAGATGGCTCTGTTCACATTTTTTGCAAGTTTTGGAATCTTCATCTGCTTGCCTGGATGTAGATCATTTCAAAGAAGTAGATGGTAGAATATGCAGACTGAATTGAATATGCAAAGGAAATTGGGGAGCCATCCTCATCTGCTTTGTTCTTGAAAATCTCAACCAAATCAGCCTCGTTCACTGTATTTTTTTAGCCAGAAAAAATGAAGGACCAGTAGAATATATGCAGGAATCAATATCAAATATTACAAACTGTAGAACTAGTTAACGTGTGAAGCAAACCAGGCTGCAGAACGCTTTTCAGGCTCTTCGGCATTGGAGTGTCTGGGAGCATAGACTTCCAGTAATCTTCTGCTGGCAGAGAAGCATGGCAGCTACCTGCAACTGCAAGCTGCCAAAGTTAAAGTAAGATTCATTAGTTAGCTTCCTCTGCTTTGGAAGAGAAAATGGAGAAACAGTGAAAGTAGCAGAATGCTCACGCAGATCAAAGTGAAGATGGATAGGAAATGGAACCCCATATTGTAGCTGTAGAAACAGAAGCAGGATGCTATAGATTTAGAAACCAGGCAGATTATACATGTGTTTAGGATGAAACAAATATGTAGCCAGCCAGGCATATTTATACACTTAGGAAGGATCTGTGCATGATTTTTTTTTTTACGCAAAAAAGGAAATAATTCTATTTCATTCTTTAATCTAGCTTACTTTGCCTATATGATAGAATTCGAATTTAAAATCTATTATTTTTATCAAAAAGAGATTACCACTAAATATCAATAGGTTTTGATTTAATTAAATAATAAAAATCTTTTATTAGAGAAACAGGCAACCAAACAATAAAAACCTTGATGTCATTCATTTTATGTATAAGATATATTATTATATGCAATTTGATAAATACATCTTTTATTTATTGATTAAAAAAAAAAAAAGCTAAGATGTTGGAAGGACTTGGTTAACCATGGGAATATGTTCCTAGCCTTCAATGCCAAGCGATTAAAACAACAGCCCTAAGTTGGAATCAACTTGCAAGTGAATACTCCTACCTAACCCTGAGACATTTTTTTTGGATAAATATTTGGATTTTCTAGACAATTAATCCCACTACTACGTGTAACTCGTTTCATCTAAAAATACTTAATAAAATAAGGTGGTAATTTTAATAGGAGTATTCTATATCTAAATGAGATTAAAGAGATTCAAATTGTATTTTTAACGTTGAAATAACCCAGTAATTTAGAGAGGAATTTTTTTTATAAGAACTTAATTTAAACAATTTACACATTAAAAAATGTTTGAAATTGACGGGCAAAAAAAAAAAAGAATGTATGAAATTAGTTTGTAGTCTAGCAAGGCTTGTGGCTTAATGGCGTGGGCCTTGCTAGTTAGGGGTGATCTCTTATTTTGTCAAGATACCGTTCTGGAAAGTTGATATCAATGCCGGCCCGATCCTTTTAAACTCTCAACCTTGGTCCTTGGCCAATGGCCATTTGGGTATTAAGGCCAGGTCCGCATTAAGCAAATTAATTTTTTTTAATACATTTAAATTGATATTGAAAATGTGCTTTTTAAGATGGTAAAATGAGGAATTAGAAAATTACTCTGAAACACTCTAACTGTTAAATAAAAAAAGGAAAATTCCTTGCCTTTGGGAGGAACCCCGAAATTCATCCTGGATTGTGTCAACCTCACAGGATCTGCCATTTTTGATTACCCAGAATACCTGGTTTTTATGAAGCAAAATTCTTCAAAAAAATAATACTATTTACTACGGGCAGTGAACTTGCTATTAGTTGAAACTCAGTTTCATTTCCTCAAACCTTAAACATACACATACATGGTTACACACTTAACCTAGTAAATATAAGCAACATAAGTAACATAACCCATAACTTCAGAAATACATGCAATTGAGGAGGCGGATTACACACTCAATACTTTAAAGAGTGCTTCAATTTATTTGTATTTGACACATAATTATCCCTACCCTCCAATGATCCCAGATATTCTTTCTTGATCAAATGTTTCAGTACTTCAGTTGGGAATCCAGACAGGGGTCTCTCTGGTAAGGAAATGGCAAATTGGAATAGTTCCTGGCTTAACTTTGAGCTGCTGAAAGGCCCTATGCTTGGGGTTCCAGAATGATGTATCTTTGTGGCAAATAACTAGTGCTTTTGCCTTGGTGCCATCTGACCCTACCAATGGCAACACATATGCATCTGTCTTATCAATTGAATGGCATATGAACACAGCATATGGATACTTTTCCTTATGGCAAACCAACTGCATTTCCCCCATCTTCCGCACCCCCTCACCAATAGTAAAATCTTGAACTTTAATGAAAAAGGCCCAGAAAGCCCATTCTCAGATATAGCAGGTTTTCTTTTTTTCAATAAACTAAAAACGCTTCAAACTTGTATTCTTTGATTTTAGTTTTCCTGTAACGAGACTTCAGCAAAGTTTGCTTTCTTTCTTTCTCCATTTTTTTTTTTTTTCATAAATAGAGACAGAAAAAACAAGGATATGAAAGTATAAAACTGTATAATACACTCAAAAACATCAGCTTCAACCAGTACATATGAAAACTCAGGATTGAGTTTCATTCATATTAATAATAAAAAAAGAACTTAAAAAACTACCCTAACGAACAAGGAAAAAGAATACAAAATTACTGAAGAGCATAAGAGGGTAGGCCTTTTTATCATTCTAACTTTGTCTCAAAAACCTTCCAAGTTCCATATTCGGAGAAAAGAAAAAACTCAAACACCAGGAAACGCTTTTTTTTTTTTTTCTGGGGCTGTTTGGAGGGGGTTGGTATGGTTCACTTCCTACATCTCCAGGCTGAAATTGAAAAGAGTGGTCGATCTTGCCAGCAAATTACCACGCATCCATTCTCTTCCTTCATTTTATAACCATCACAACCATAACCCTGAAGCAATCTCTTTGCCTGCAACATGCCATAGTAACTCAAAGGCACGGTTCCAAAGCCAACAAAATCAAGCCTTTGAATCCATTTTTCGAGTTTTTCATGTCTCTCCTTCCTCTCAGCTCCCTCACATGCAATTATATTCTTTATTTCCTCTCCAAACAACATCTTCTCTACTTTCACCCTCTCCAAGGATGTTCTTGAGATGGTAGACTCCAAACAATCAAATAATGCAGCATAAGAATACAGGGATTCTAATAATCTCTCCATGAGAGTTGATCCATTATGGTTAGAATTTTGTTCCATAACCACCATCAGTTTAGGTGACAAACCCCACAATGAGGTAAGAAAACTGTCAATAGACACTGAAGCAGTTAAGGATAGTGGTGATGATGAGGTTGAATCAGGGCTAGGGCTGTACCTGTTGACCATGTCTCTTTCAAGCAACTCACCAAAACTGCCCTGATTCACTTGAAGGGCTCTTTGCAAGTGAATTCCATTCAGGTTCCTCGAAGCTAATGGTGATCTGTTCCGTTGGAGTTCATCATCAGAGGCCAACAGCGGATGCAGTTGGAGAACTGAGCTGATTGCCAAAGCCTCCCCTGTTTTAACCCGTAATTTCTCAATATCAAGACTCTCTATTTTGCTAACAATAGGATTAAACTGAAATGGCAAATCCAGTTTCTCAGCTTCTTCAGTCAATCTATGAGCCATCTGATCCAAGACTTCCTTCTGTTGATGAATTCCTGTGATTCTTAAATGGGGCGGTCCTTCTGGCCTTGCACTCAAAGCTTGAATAAGAGCAACCCATTGTGCTGGTTCAGATGCATTCAGATCAATAACGTGAACCATCTTTTCACCCTCCATCGCTTCAATTATAGCTTGGTTGGTAAGAACAACGGCCACCTTCAAGAATGGAAACATCTCAAAATACAGTTTCCGAACAAGAATTTCTTCAGAAACCAAAGTCATCCTGGTGGAATTAAGAGCCTTGTGGAGACCAGGCCAGGCTTTGAGAATTCTGTCAGCAAGTGCCTCAGTAAAGTATGCAGCAATCCTCTGCATGGTATCACCATCTGGACAGGCCAGTTGAGATATTTGCTCAAGCGCAATATTTGCGTTTCCAAGGCTGCCAGCCGCTACATGGTTTGCACAAGTGAGTAATAAGTGGATCAAATATAAACCCCTTTCCTCAGATTTCATCTCTCTAAGCCATGGGTAAGGTGATCCTAAGCTGGGTGACAGTGACATCATGGAGAAAACTTGGAGAGGTGATGATGTTACGGATGATGACTCCCCTTGTAACATAGGTACCATGAGAGAACCAGGAGAATGTTTGGAGCAAAGGGATAAAAACAGATTACAGTTGCCAAAATGGGTGACTATCAATCGAACTAAATTCACAAAGATAACGACTAATAAAAAGGCCTAGACTTTGTAAGACAATGTGAAAAATTTTCTCCAGGAAACAAGTTTGGACCAATACAAAGCCAGATTCAGGATTAAGGCCAAAAGAAAATTACCAACAACGTCCGGAGGAATTAAAAATCAGAGAAATGCCTCAGACCACAGAGACTAAATGAAGAAGATCACTGGTATAAAAAAATGAGTGATTCTGATCTAATTACAAGGAGACCAAACTGATGGAAGATGAAATCCTCGAGCGAGAAGTTCATGTAGGTGTCAGAAATTTCATCGATTCATAACAATTCCAAAAGAAAACATCAAAAAAGCTGCAACATTTAGAAATAGATAGACCAGATTCTGAACTAGCAAACTGGCAACAACAGAACAAGAAAGAAACTAAACCAGAGCAAGGGAGCCAAAATCCTTACTGGGTTTTACAATTGATCAAGAATCCATATGAAAAACCAAGAGAAATTTCCCAAGCTTGCTGCTTTACCCCTTCTATGCCCAAAGCCTTTTTGGGTGTTGAGGGTTTTTTCTGTGTCTGAACAGAGAACTAGAGAAGAGTCAAAAACGGTTTCAAAATCATTTAAAGCTCCCAGCTTGTTCATGGTAACGTTGTCGACAATGCGTGAGAGGTGGGTTTGTCGGTTTATGATTTGTTGTCGTTCTCTCCACCAGTGGAATATGGAATTTTATGAGAAGAAGCGCCCATATTTTCTCTCTCTCATTTCTGCAGTTTCTAATGCATTTGTCTTTACCTTGCTCTCTTCCTTCTCCATCTAAAACTTCCACCTTTATGGATTTTGTCTTCGCATTAGGTGGCTAGGAATCAGGTCAGTACTGGCCTAAAGGATAAAGGGTTTTTTTATTAATATATTCTCCAATGACACATGCTGCCAAACATGCCCTAACAAAGACAAAACAATGCCCACAGTTTTGTTTCCTAGTGGGGTGAGTGTGGGAATTGTAAGAAAACCTTCCCAAACGCTTCCAAAACTTTGGTTTGTTCTCTTTTCACACCCAATGACCATACAATTGGTATTTTCTTGTTATATTAAGACAAAGAGACAAGTAAGTTAAGGAAAAATCCAAAAGCAGATAGTACATCTATCTCTACAAGTGTACTCTCTTGAGTGCCTATTCTTCAAACTCAATTCTGATTTCCCTAGGTAAAAACTAGGGTTTTACTTTTCTTAATTCTCAACTCTAAGGATGATTTTCACCCTTTTTCTTTTTTTGGAGCTTTAGGCATTGGCACCAGCCATCTTCGCCTGCTGGTCCAATTAAAAGATGTCAAAAAGGTTCAGGTTAGACTTTTGATTAAGTGGAAGGGGAAAACAAATTCAAACTTCTCTATCATGAATAAAACAATTATGGCCATGTGAAGCAGCACTTGTGAGTCGTCATAACCATCATTTATTATCAAGTTTTTTATAAATGAAATATCCAAGGAACTTTAACATGGAAGCATATCTTCGTCATGCATGAGTTTTATTATAACCATGCCATTTTCATGAAAACAAAGACAAAAGACATAAAACCTTTATTGAAAGTCACAATTACTCAATTACCCTAAATTATAAAATATAGAATTACTAGAAAAATGCATAGATTTTACTTCGCAAAATCTTACAAAATTGAAAATTTTCGGTTTTTGTAGTTGAAAACTAGATTCAATGTCTGTTTTCATTAATTGTTGTATTCAACCTTTTTTTTTTTTAATGTATAAAATGGGCCTAAATTCTTTTCAAAGATCAATTGATCATCCTATTTGTCATTTACCATTGGATTTGGCCTTGTTTTCAATAGGAAAAGTACTTTGATTATCACTTCCAACGATGGAATCTGGAGTTGTTTACGAAGAGAGTTAGTAATTCATTGGGATATGTTTGAAACAAGCCAAAATTTGGCACTCAAACTATTTTGGAAAACAAACTTTTATGCATTAAATCCTAATAAAAAAAAAAAAAAACAAGGGCCCACAATGTAAATTGAGGACTTTGATATGTCCTTAAAAGCCCCAAACTTCATTTCAACTTCTAATGGGAGGGAAATGGGAATCGTGCAAAAGCATGATGGAGAGTTGGAGACAAAAACGGGTGGCCGAGTGGCTCTTTGCCGTCTTCAAACCTGATGCGCATGAAACTTTTTTTTTTCTTTTTGGCCAACCGAATCATGTTTTGTTGACTTGTTTTTTTTTTTTTTCTCTAAAACTCTCATGGGATACCTTAGTACTATATTAGAAGAATCATCTCAATTGCAGACAGTGTCATGGTAAAGATGAACGAACCATCTGTGTTTAGTTAGAACTTAGGATGAGGAGGCTTGTTCCACTTGATCCAACGAGTCTGCAGCTGAGTGAAGATGGTGATAACCAAAGCTGGTTGGGAATCTGCCGCTTCTCTGCATAGCAATCCTCTTCATCACTTTGGAGGGCAAGTGCTGCCCTACAATCTTGACCTAATATCACCTGTCAAAAACGAGAAACAATTAAAATTATTGAGATGACCATATGAAAATTCAACTCATTTTTGCAAGAAGTTTTTGCAATTTGCACAAACATATCAAACAAAACATGAGCTCACGTTTACATTGTCCTCTGAGTTGAGCAATGGCCACAGATATCTTAGCACCAATAGCAGCATTATTTTTCACCAGTGCAATATCTAAAACAATGGTTAAGAAACTAAACAGCGTTTGCAATTCAAAGTAGATGTTAAAGCATAAAAGAGAGAGGAATCAATCTCACAACTTATTTGACTATATATGCAAAATTGTCATGCCAGCTGCTATAACAATTAGACTGAATCCATTCACCATCACATGCTTTGTTACAGAATAGGAAAAATCTCTGTGCAGAACATAAAACATAATGTTTATTGTATATGGCATCTAAAAGGATAATTGAAGCAAGAGATGATCCGCCAGTAAGTTCACTAACTCTTGCGAGAAGGAAAGGAGTCTCAGCATTTCCTGTAATGTTCTTTTCCCTGAGAATGAGACATCATTTAGGCAGGTATCAAACGAATAATAAAGAGAAGAAAGAAAAGGAGAAAAGAAGCAAAGAACAATATATATCAATGAACGTAAGTAGTATCAACCTAGCTTCTCTAAGGGCTCTCTCTATTGCAGATTCGATTAAGTCCCCAGAAGCTGAGTGTTCCTTTGGAATTGGAACGGCAATGAGAACTCCACTTCCTAGATTAAGTTTAAAGCTCACATCTGCAAGCAAAATGAATTAGAAAGGAGGAATTCATAATTTCACAAATGACTAAAGAAGTTACAATGAAATTTACTTGCCTATTAACTGAGCACAGTCTTCTGGAGTATCCACACGGCAAGGTACCTAGAGTTTTGATATGACATATCAAGAAAAGATCCAAGTTAAATGATGTTACATTCTAACAAAGAATGTCAGATTGGAAACTTGCACAAAAATCTGCAAAAAACAATCTTTAGATGAATCTCATGCAACTATCACACTGCAGTTGGAAAATGTCATCTCTGCATGTGTTACCATCCCACTAAAGATGGAAACTTCAACTACAGAGAGAAAGGTCTGAAAAAGAACTTAGAAGCCTTCCTAAAGGACCTAAACATGAACATAATGCCACCTTCTTTTGGAAAAGAAAAAGGTGAAAAATGAAAAGCACTCCAAAGATATATATAAAAGAAAGAACAAATATAAACAAGTTGTTCCATCAACCTCAGACAATTAATACCCAAACTATGACTTCAACATATGATAATGGTGGAAAATGCTGTTAAAAAAAGGGTGGAAAAAGAATTTAATGCCCATTATCTTTAAGCCACATTAGTTCAATGCCCATGGAAAAAATGAACATTATTTCAGATAACTAGATTAATTTCAGGCTTGAATAAGAATATATACGAATTCTATGAGATCTGAATGCAACTGTAAGAAGCAAAATAGCAAGTTCATTATTAATACCTTGCACCCACTTCTTTCAGTGAAAAAAGCTGGAAACTCATGGGTCTTATATGCAGCAACACAAACTCCCTGAGTCTCCTGCATTAATTACAAAAACTAGTAACTAAATCATGAGATGAAGCTAAATTCAGAAAGTATTTTGAAATAAGTGTTGAATACCAAATATTCCAGTGTCCTGGGAATGTCTAATATTGATTTAACTCCAGCAGAGATGACTGCAACTGGCGTCCTTCCTAGCTCAGTGAGATCAGAGGAAATGTCCATTGCTGCATTTGAAACAGCAGAGAGAACCCAAAGTAGCTATTAATACAATACATTTCAGTGGTTTGTTAATAGTAGGAATAAGTTCATTTTCAACATCCAATGATTATTTCAGATTTTCAGTACATATTCATCAACACTACTACAAACACTTAAACATGGAAAAAGTACAGATTCCTTTGTAAGGTAAAAGCAAAATCCCTTTTCCCACCACACGCTGCTGCTAATGTGATACTCTTATTATAGAAATTTTAATCATAATACAATGTGGTTCAATCAGAGCACGAATTTGGTAAAGGAATATCAACCTCATAAATTGGGGCCTAGAGCCTAGTTGCAATCTCCAAATCAACACATGCAGCAAATAAGTTATGGAACCATATTATTTTTGGAAGCAAACTTACTATTCTCGCCATGTCTATGTACTCCCCCAATTCCCCCAGTAACAAACACGGGGATGCCAACCTTTAGGAAATAATAAACCAACTGCGTTAGTCATAGCACAAGAAGAAAACAGGAATGATAGGAAAATGGTAGGGGAAAAAAAAAACTTTTTGCTAAGTGCATCTATATAAATAAACAAAAATAGCATCAAGTAAGCTCAGAATAAAGCAGTCACCATGGCAGCAAAAAACATAGTTGAGGAAACAGTAGTAGCACCATTTCCTTTAGTGGCGACCTGTAAGAACATAAACAGGAAGTATGGGTAAAGATTTGGTCACATGGACTATCTATGAGGCCAAAGAAATTGGCATCAGATAAAACTGCAGATTGAGAAACATATCAAACGGAGCAAACCAGGACAGAGAAAAAGTCAACATGAAAATGCATTGAGAACAAGTTAAAATAAAGCTGAAAATAAATAAACTAAGTTACTAATCTATTTCTAGTCTGGATTCCTGCTTTAGAAAATAGACTAAATTTTTAGGTTGAGTAGATGGAAAATGCCCTTTAAAAAAATAAAATAAAATTCTTTAATTCGTTTCCAAAGTGCAACTCAACTCTCAACCCTTAATTTGGAGAACTGAATCCTATAACCGTCAGGTGTGGTTTAATGTGTTTGATTTCTTATGGCAGACTTTAATTACCAGAAATTTCCCATTGAAGATGCTGATATATGATATTGCAAAATTTTTTGTTTTCCAATTGTTTACATGAAATGGTCAACAATTTTTTTGAGAGAAACTCACAACATATGCAATGTCCCTTCGTGCTGTCTTTTGAGCTCTTCTTCCCAAACGGGCAAGCTTTTCCAATTCTTCCACATTCAGACCTGCAGATTGGAACAAAAGAGCAATGTGAAAGTCAAGTATCCAACTATTTTGCATATCATTGCAGTTCCTCATCATATTTATGAATAATCCCAATCCCAATCCCCAAAGCAACCAGCACTAAGTAAGTGCAATCACTCAAGCAAGGCAGTTGCAGTAAATTTTCCAGTAGGTCCATCTCTAAGGTGAACCATCAACTCATATTTTCTTTTTCTTTCCATTTAACTAATACCGGTTCTGTATCAAAGGCATATAAAAGAACAAAAACTCTTAGAAGAATAAGGTTAACATAAATACCTATGCATGGTTTGCCATCTAGAATAGCAATGGTAGCAGGAACTGCTCCATTCTCCCTCACAATTGCCTCCACCTCCTTAGCTGTTTCCAAATTTTGAGGAAATGGCATCCCTGAATACACATAAGAACCGTGAGTAACATCCATCATATTACATGATGCAGAGTACATATGAATTACAAATTTACAGATCTATTTTCTATTGACCCTTTTCAACAAAATTTCTTCCCTAGAAACCATATAAAAGGGTTAATTGGGTATGCCATTTCGAACAAAGTAGCATAGCTTAATACAGTAAAAAGAAAGAGCCACTCTACACACTCTCAGAAACATGATAAAGTTTCAAAATTGCGAAAGAAAAACAAGGATCTCAAAAACTTAACCCATTAACCCACTCCACAAAAAGATGGGGCTAATTTCAAGAGAAACTAACCAAAATTCTTTACAGAAACAAAAAAAAAAAAAAGGGGGGAAATTATCACCATAAAAACTAGCACCCAAGAAAAATTTGTCAAATCTATATTACCATGGGAAATGATGGTGGATTCCAGAGCAACAACAGGTTGCCCGTTGGATAGAGCCGCAGAGACCTCCGGAGATACCTTCACCAACTCTACAATCTATACAGTGAAAATAAAGAAAAATAAGTAAAAGAAGATTAAAAGTCATCGCCTTTTTCTTTTGGAGGAATTGGGGGAGCATATGCATATTACAGCAGATTTTGAGCTGGAGAGCCGGAGATGGGTGTCGGCAGTCGGCAGTCCTTTCACCGCGGAAGACGCCATTTATCAGTACGGAGTCAAGACAATAGCAGAAAAATGGTATTGCGGAGCGGAAGACGAGTGTCCTTTCACCACCCAAGAAGTAAGTCATTATATTATGTTGAATGAGCAGTGCTAGGGGCACTCGCCTTTTGCACTCTCCGGCCAACACTTCCCTTTTCATTGGACCACGTAAGCTTGTTTCGGGCTTTGCGGGCGGAACCTCTTTCGACCAGAATAACGTGGCCCAATAAAAGTGAAAGTGCGGCCGGAGAGTGCAGGAGGCGAGTGCTCCTAGTACTCATCTATATTGAATAGGGTAAATATATATACTATCTTGAATTTTTATTAAAAAGTAATTATTTAATATTCCTGTTACGGTAAATTTATAATTTTATGTAATAAGTTTTTTTTTTTAAATATATAATGATAAACTATCTATATATAATATATATAAGAAAAATATTTTCTCTTAAATTTTTTTTATTTTAAAATTTAAGTTTAAAATTCCTAATATAAAATTTTAAATTCTTAATCATAATATTTTTTTAAAATTATTATATTATTTATTATTTATTTAAAATTATTAATTTGGTTTTTCAACTTTTAAATTTAAACCAAAATTATCCTTTAATTTCAAAAAATATTAAAATTGTCTCTTAACTTTAATTTTTAATAGTAAAAAAGTCCTTCGATTAATATAACTGTGGCTAACTCTTATTTTATCATAAAAATAGACTTTTAAATACTAATGACATATAAAATCAAACAATTTTATTTTGCTATAATGATATATTTTTATTTACATATTAAATTAATATATAATTAAAGTTGAAAAACAAAATTAGTATTTGTAATTAAAATTTAAGAACTAAATTAGTACTTATTTTCAAAGTTTAAGGACTCAATTGATATTATTTTTAAAGTTTGAGTATTATTTTGGTACCAAAAATTAAAATTTAGAGATAATTTTAATATTTTTTAAAATTAAGAGACAATTTTGATAAAATTTAAAAGTTGAGAGGTCAAATTGATGTTTTAATAATTTTTTTTTCTCTAAATAGAACCTAGCCTCGAAACAGTCACAAACAGCAAATAAAACGATTTTTCAAAATACATCAAAATACATGTTGCTGCTTTCTACAACAAAAAAAAAAAAAAAACTTTTTTAAAATGATATAAGAGTAATTTTTTAATATAATTTTTATAAATTATTTAATAAATTAATATATTTAATATTATAAATTTTAAATAAATAAAAATAACGATTAATTTAAATAACACAAAGTTATATAAAAAAATTATTTTTAAATTAATTTTTTCTTTTTTATTTTTAGTGAAACCATATACCCTTTTATTTTTCCACGTATGACGTATCATAATCGTTTTCAAAATAAAACCCTAACTTTTTCGTTATCTCAATTGAATCTCCAATTTCAACGTTTTGCAATGGTATCCTTAAATTACCATTTTTTTTATTATGGTTATGATTACTAGTTTATTATTATTGCCTTTTAAGATAAATAATTAAAATTGACAATAAAAAAAATAAAAGTAAATATTTTTCAAAGCTGACAATTCTATCATCGGACATCATCCATAAATTTAGATGAAAAAATCAAATGGATTAGTAAAATTAGACTAGATGGAGTATATGTGAAGTGAAGGTGTTATATTTGTTGCCTGTTCTTTGTAATTTCTTGTGTTTAACAGATTTTTCGTTTTTTTTTTTTTTTTATAAATAAAACATGATTTAGAGATTTTATATGTTGGGGACATTTTGGTCAAGCTATTAGAAACATAACCACCACAGACTGCCTCTTCCCTCTGCCACTACTGCTGTACTGGTTGGCATTCATGATTCATGGCTTCCAAGCTTTCCTTCACTTGCATTCCTGAATTGCCACTCTCAATTGAGAAATTCCCAAAACCCCATCAAAGGATTCACCTTGTTCCTCTTCCACCACCAAATTTCTCTCCTTTGTGTTCCTCCTTGAAGAATAATAACAACTCAAGCTGGAGGAGACTTTCTGTTCATGCTCTCAAACAAGAAGTAATTCAGTCCCCCAATTCAGACTCTACCCTTGACTCCAAAGCTGCCTTTCCAGCTTCCTCTAAGCTTGTTCTTGTAGTCGGCGCCTCCGGTGGCGTAGGTACGCTTTCCATCTTCTGTTATTGTGTTTTTGTTGTATACATGCCTGTTTTACTTTGCCTTATTTTAGAAATATTTTTTGGTATTTGAGAATTTGTGTAATTGGACTGTTTGTTTTGTCTGCTAAATTTCATTTAATTCTAGTATTCAAATTCTGTTGGGTACAAAAATTTGAGGTTGGTTCTCAACCCTTGTATTGTTTGTAGGGTTAGCTTCAAATTTCTGAAATGTTAATAAAACTGAATGAGGCATTGTTCTTGGAGATGAATGGAGGTATAATGAAACTAATGGCTTGAATGGGGTTAATTGGTTATTCTGCATTGGTTTATTGTTCTCATTATTCTTCAGTGGGGTTAATTGGTTCACCCCGAGGTACAAAACAAGATAAACTCAGGAATAAGAACTCAGTAAGGGAAGCAGACACAAATGTCATCAGGCTTTTGGAAGAAGAAACAGTAGCCATATGCCTTTTCTGTAGTTTGAATATGCTTCAACTAAGCTGCAATAACTTTGCACTTATAAATTCTTGTATAGCTGTAATGATTTTTAGACAAAGTTCTTGGATTTCATCTTTACTGTGAACCATTGCTATTAGTGACAGACTTTACATGTCATATGTAAACTTGCAATTTATTCTCTTTACAGGGCAGTTGGTAGTGGCATCATTGCTTAACCGAAACATCAAGTCACGCCTACTACTACGAGATCCTGAGAAAGCAACCACCCTGTTTGGTAACCAAGATGAGGAGACACTACAGGTGCAATTCTCATCTGACTTGTAAAACATTCATTCCCAGTAACAACACCCAATGACACTTCTATAAATTTTGTGCTGTTTATTACTGCCTTTCTTTATCTTTTTCTCTCTTCCTTAAGTGAATTTTGTTATAAACAACTCTCAAAACTTTTATAGGTTTATAAGGGAGACACCAGAAACCCGGGGGATCTAGATCCATTCATATTTGAGGTTTGTGTTGCATAATCATCTATGATCCTTTCTTTTCCATTTTCTAATAATTTTCATTTGGTTCCCTAACTGATGGAAAAATGGTTTTCTTGGCCGTATTATTTATAATAACTAATTTTCTAAGTATATTTATCTTTTGTCTTCTTGTTTCGTAGGGGGTCACACATGTGATTTGTTGCACAGGAACTACGGCATTCCCTTCAAAGAGATGGGATGGGGATAATACACCAGAAAGAGTAGGTAAACACTCTTACTTTTTCATAACAAAAGTCTGAATAAATGGTTATCTGTCTTTTGTTTTTGTTCTTATTGCTACTCATATTCTTTGAAGATTGGGAGGGTATAAGGAATCTCATATCTGCATTGCCTTCATCATTGAAGAGAGTAGTTCTTGTCTCATCTGTAGGTGTAACCAAGTTCAATGAACTACCATGGAGGTAAGACTAATGTTATTTGGGCATCAGTTTTCTTAATTAAGTTGAATGAATTATGACGGAGACTATAAATTACTTTGTGAAACATGTGTGGATATAAGTCACAAAGCTGGTTTTCTTTAAAAAAAAGTCATGCTGGTAGTGATGACATGCTTTTTGTGCATTGATCAGCATAATGAATCTCTTCGGCGTTCTCAAGTACAAGAAGAAGGGGGAAGATTTTCTGCGTGATTCTGGTCTTCCATTTACCATTATCAGGTCAGTTGCCAATGCATTGATGCAAGTGTTTCCTTTCCTTGCTATTAAGAAGTAGAAAGTAATTTTGTAGTCTATAGGTAGTACATTCCTTGATTGAAGTTCAAACTGCACTTGTTTGTATTCAGAGCTGGTAGATTGACAGATGGACCTTACACATCATATGATCTCAATACACTGATTAAAGCTACAGCTGGGCAGCGCCGAGCAGTTCTCATTGGTCAAGGTATGTTGTAATGGATAGATTAAGGTTGTATTCATGATTCTTGTTGCTATCAGTCTCATCTGCACAATGTTTGTAAATGATCCATACAGGAGATAAACTTGTCGGAGAGGTTAGCAGGCTTGTAGTTGCTGAAGCTTGCATACAGGCCCTAGACATAGATTTTACGAAAGGAAAGGTTTATGAAATTAACTCAGTTGAGGTAAGCATGGATTTCAATTTGAATTTCATTATGGGTTTGTGTGGACAATCCCAAAATGTATACAGAGACATTGAAGTATGAGAAGGCATCTGATATTTGCTCCTCTGATCTAACTGCCATGCAGGGTGACGGTCCAGGAAGTGATCCACAGAAGTGGCAAGAGCTATTCAAAGCTGCAGAATTCAAATAACGGGACTTCCATATCCCTCTTTGATCCTAGGATGATCCGTAAACAGAGTGTATTGTTTTATTCAAAGTGTATAAACTATAAAATGTTTGTACAGTTACAGCACATGATTTTGTAACTTAACAAGCATCAGGATTGGCACCACACTACCAGTTAAAACTTTAAACTTGTAGAGAAAATCAGAGAGATTAGTTTTCCAAATGATGGCAAAGATCAAGATGTCTTCATTCCCTGTCTGTCAGCCATATCAGTTATCCATACAGAAAGATATTACAGACATTCATCAAACTTATATACACCACCCATATTCAATGTTGACAAAAGTTGTTATATAATTATGTCAATTATGCATCAAGTTTGAAGAAGAGTGAACTTGATATGCTAGTAGAAAGAAATAAGAACAAAGAGAAAGGGTACTATCATTATGGAGCATAAAAAAGCACATGAAAAAAAGATTGGGTTAGACCATGCTGAAGTCCACTTAACACCTGAACTCAAGCTGTGAAACCCCTAAAATGATAAAAGTACATTCAAATACATTATAATGTAGCACGGCCAATAGTTCTTGAATATCCTTACAGATTAAGACTCATCCAAGATGCGGTTCATCATGAGCAAACTATAGTAACCGATTGGAAATCAAATGATAATCCTTTGAACTGCCACCCTACGGCACATAGAAATCACATGATCATCCTTTGAACTGCCACTCTCTACGGCACATGGGACAATGTGCTTGAGAAGTCTGAGAGTTCACCCATTTCAAAATACAGTGAAGATGGAAAGCATGGTTGCATGCTCCCCAAACTGCAATAGAAGAATGATAAGGAAATTAGAGTTTGCCACAATTATTGGTAAATCACAAAAATTCAACAAGTGTATTCTTTCATTTTATTCTTCCAGAAAGTTCATCACTTGTTCGTGAAGATTAAATTTAGACAATAAGTAAATGTACAAGAAGTATGCATATTGCAAGTAAGGACACAACAGTATCTTCACTTTGTATGTCATCAAAAAAATTAAGAACTCATCAGCATGAGAGATTATCATGACAATATGGTAGTCCATAGAAACAGACGAATGCTTACTTAATGGGCAGTCATCACCAGGGAGTTTACAGTCAGAACAACAACCATCAAAAGCTAATCTACAGATCCCACATGTTTCGTCTTGTGCATCCCAAGTCCATGAAGCAACAGCATGCCACCTAAGGTTCTCATAAAGGATAAATGCTATGGTTATTTACTATTTGAGAAGGGGCAAAAATAACAAAATGTAGAATTACATGGACCAAAAAGTAAAGAAACATTAGCTTAAGACTACATCCAGCCCAGAAGCTGAAAGAGAGTTAAAATAGCATACAATGTGACAAAGAAAACTTACTCTGTTCAGATTCACATTGATTAGTAGAGGGAGATGCTGGTCAAGGGGAAACAGTTTCTTCCAAAAAAAATCCCAAAATGTCATACAAGCCACAACCAAATCCAGGTTCAAAAAGGAAAAAGAGAAAGAAAAAATGAAAAAAATTTACCAATAGAACCTTCTTAACAGTTCTCATTCCAGTCCCAAGATAAATCACTGGTAAATAAATACTTTCATTACAACAAAATCTCTAGAGAAGAAAGTGAAACATATGGTGGAACCATAATCAACATAAAGCACAGGTGCAATTCAAACAGAAGACTTTAAAAGCTAGGAAGAACCATAAAAGAAATACTATTAAAATGAAATATATCATCTGGACGGTTAATTAAGAAGGACAAGCAGAAACATTCTGCAGCCATTTTCACTACATAACTTTGGAAAATCTCAAGTTGGGCCTTCCAAGGTAGAGTGGAACCAGTTTCAATCCTGCATTAGCTAGGTAAATGCATTCCACTCAAAGAATCAGTTAAAAGATTAGGTTTAGAACTGGTTCAAAGCTAAAGTACAAAGTATTTTGAACCGATTGATTCCTCAGTATCTTTCACCACAAATTTAAACTACATAACCATAAGCAAATTTTACAGTTTAACCTGGAAAACCCAGAAACTATTCAAACCCATCAATTTTCCATTGAGGTCAATCCAGAGAAAAAATCTAATTCCTTATAGCACTAAGCAACATAATTCCCCTATAAATGAGAGTAAAAAATCAAGGAGAAACTAAAGGAGAAGTCTAAACTCTAAACAAAGGATACGAAGCAGCTTCACTTTCATCTTCCTGCAAATAAAAAAGAAAAAAATGTCACCTTGACGAGCTACATTGAAAATTTTGAAATCATATTTGCTACAGAAAAAAGGACAACTTGCATTTACAAGCTGCTCGCTTTATGCATCAAATTATACAATTTCTGGTTGGATCAGGCAATTCTAGGGCATAAAATTACAGCTAACTTCAGAAAATTACAGAAAATATCAAACGATATAAGGTCAGATTCGCAGGTATAACCACACACACCATCTACTTGAAAATGATAAGAGGAAAAGGGGAGAAATCGCGGGTAGCGAACCTGAAACTTGGTCGAATTCGCCGATTCAATGCAGCTTATTCTGATTTTCTTCCTCGTGTTAGCAAGAGCCCTTCCTCGCCGGCGAAACTGTACTCACCTGAGTATTTTTGTACATAAAGTTAGTTGTGTGAAACTGTGAATAGCCAGGCGAATGAGCCATACAATAACCATAACCGGAGTATTTATAAATGAAAAAGTGCAGTGGAATTTAAATTGTTTTTATTTGTATAATTTTAATTATTATATGAATTATACATATTTTAATACTGGAGCACTTTTATTATTTAAAATTTTTTATTTTATAGTTAAAAGCAGTTTAAATTGCATAATAGGTCATTTATTTATAAAATAAACTTAAAATTTTAAAGGCTTTTGTAGTTTGTTTTCTTATATACAAGTTAAGAGTGTAATAAATATATTTTTTATTATAAATTTATATTAAAAAAATAAAAATTAATCTATAATTTATTAATAATATAATTAAATTCATTCACTTGACAATGATATTAAAATTAATGTCAAATTTTATATTTTTCTATATATTTTTGCAATTAAAAATTCTTTTGTTAGTGTTATGGTATGTTATATTGTATTGTATTAAATTTTTTCTTTTACCAAAAATATATATATAAAATATTAATTCAAATGAGCAAAAGTATAAAAAAATTAATTAAAATTTATAAATTTTTATTTTTAATTAAAGAATTGTATGAAAAAATGATTTGTGTAAAATAATGTATGTTTGTTCTATTTTCTAAAT